CATAGCGGCTCGGCAAGGAGAGACACGCAGAGGCTTGGGAACGGGAGCCTGCGAACGGAGTCGGAAACGCGACGGCCAGGGAGGAAGGCTGACTGGTGGCGAGGTGAGCGAGGAACTGACTCCCTACCACAGTTTGACTCCAGCGGAGGATTTTCTGGGCGCGGGCAGTCCTGTAAGAGCAGGGCGCGGTGGCAACTGCAGCCGCACATTTCCCTCTCGGATGGGATTGGTGAAAGGTGCCTGACCGGAGGGACGCTGCTGGCGGACTCCCTAGGCTGGCCTAACCCAGATCCCAGAGCCTGACGGTGGCCCGGAGGAGCGACCGACTCCCGCGTAGGCTGCCTCCTCCACAACTCCCTGGGGCGCAGCGGTGAGCGGGAACAACTAGCCAGCGCAATTTGATCAAGCTGTGGCTGACAGGCAGGGAAGCCGGGCCTCCTGTGTAAGATTACATTTTATAAGGAACAGAAAATATGGGGAAGGGAAGCAACAAAAAAGGCTCCTCGGCCCCCAATCCTGAGAATCAGGCAATAGCGGACACTGCACCAATATACATTAAGCGCCATTTAGAGAGCCTCATAGACCAATTCAGGAATGAAGTTATCAATGACCTGAAGCTAGAAGTATGCAGAATAGTTAGAGAAATGCTAAGCACCAACCAGGAAAAAGCAGATGGTGGAATGGAAGAACAGAAAAAGAGGGGAGAATTGCTTGATGGAGAAAACAGAGAAAGCATTGAGTATGTGAAGCAGGTGCAAAGGGACTATCAAGAAATTAAGAAGTCTACCCAAGACTGGCATAACAGCTTGAAAGAAACTAAGGACAGACTATCTGAATTGGAGGGCAGACTTGAAACATGGGAGAATGAAATGAAAAACTTCTTAAAAATAACAAAGAAATACACAGCAATAATACAAAGACAAGAAGATGATAAGAGGAGCCATAACTTAAGGATTAAGAACATAAAAGAAGAAGTAGGGACACAAACAAGTGAACTACAAAAGCTACTCACAGAAATAATCCAGGAGAATTTTCCTAATTTAGCAAAAGGTAAAGATACTCAGATGTATGAGGCATACAGGACCCCAGCTACCTACAACCCAAACAGAGCAACACCCAGGCATATAATAATAAAAATTCCAGAAATTCAATACAAGAACAGAATATTAAAAGCTGTAAGAGACAAGAAACAGATCACTTACAAGGGAAGACCCATCAGAATTACAGCAGATTTCTCTTCACAAACCATCAAATCACGAAGAGCATGGGGAGAAATAATTCAAGCTTTGAAAGATAATAATCTACAGCCAAGATTGAGATATCCTGCACAACTGTCCCTGGAAATTGATGGAAAAACGAGGTGCTTCCAGGATAAAGAGGAACTGGGGGAATTTGCAACCACCAACTCAACCCTACAGAAAGTATTGCAGGATATTCTAAAAAAAGAAAAATACAAAGAACCCAGAAATAGGGGCGGGGAGGCCACAATGAATGGAGCAGAGAACAAAATGAAGAAGACAAACTGACAGCTACTGACAGAAAAAGAGCTCAACAGAAATGAGACAGAGAAGATTGGATGATAGGAACAGCTTTTTTTGGAGAAAATGACATCTTAATAGGTAATGCTGATTTAGTACCATCTTGTTTTGAAGTCTCATCTAGCTTTTGCTCTTCTGTCTCCAATGGTCTAAACAGGTTGTATCTTATTGGATTTTGTTAAGTACGATAGTATTAGAAAAAACCTTTTAAAGACAAGGAGATTATACAGAGACCATTGTTCATTTTCTGTTAGTCGATTCTAAATACTCTATAATGCTGTCATTCTCTTAAATGGATTTACATTGTTTTGATATACTTAATGCTACAGTATATGAAGTTGTACTCAAGGACTTCAGGGAGGGAGTCAATATGGTAACTATTTTTGGGTCAGGATTATCTGGTGGTGAAACACTATTCTACTTAAATGGTTATGTTTTGATCTGCCCTGTTTCGCTGTTATGCCCTCTTTTTTCTCAATCTCCACTCCATTATTTACTTTTTTATTTTTATCCATTTAATTAAAGGGAAAAATATAGCAGGATATAATATAGTAACCCACTTTGACTTTCTATTATCTCGATTTGAAGCCCTGTGTTACTCTCACCATCTTGTTTTTGACTGAGGTTCCTCTATTCTGTTTTGCTGCATAGTATCAGGTTCGAAAGTTTAGGCATCAGCTGAGAAGATAATGAGATTCATTATAATGCCCATTCTCGTTGACTTTTATCTACTTTTGAAGACCTACAATATCTCCAATGTTTTGGTTTTGTCGGTTTTATTCTTTACGGTTTTGTTCAATTGTATTACAACTAATGATATAGGCAATTCTATTAGAAATAGCAGGAGGCATTATGGTAACCATTGTTGATCACCTTGTATTATGTTTTTATATTATCTATTATGTCCACCCTTTTGACTTGACCGATTCTGTTCTGTTATGTCACATTTGGTTTTACTCTCTTCCAAAAAAGCAACAAGAACCGTGGGAGCAATGAAACCCAAAATGTGTAATAGTCACTGTACAAAAGAGAGGAAAAGAAAGTGCTCTAAACTATATAACTGCATGTATATTTAAGTGTATAAGATAGAAAATGATATCACAGAGTTTTATTGGATCATTGAACAGAACTGTCTGCAGTATCATTGTTGGAATGTCCACTCTACAAGCTTTAATTTTGTGACTTGAACAATTATTTCTAAGATGGCAATATGTAATCCATTAACTAGTGATTTCCTACTGCGCATTTTTTTATTCTGTAAATCTGTATAACTTGTACCCCTTCACTGTTTTTTTTTCTTTCTTTTCTTTTCTCCTTAAATAAAAATTAAAAAAAAAAAAGAAACAAATTTTGGACTTTGAGAAGAATCAAATCAAGTTCAACAAACTAAAGAATAGTGGCAGGAGGTAAAAGAATGGCTTAAGAAAAGACTGGAGAGCTAAACATGATCCAAGCTCTTACAGACCTCATAAAGAATATTGATTTCCTCATGGGAACAGCAAAAAAACTAACCAAAAATCAATGAAAGGGAATCAAATTTGCATTTCCTGAGATAACTTGGGGATGGTGTGGAAGGTGGTCTTGGCAGAGACTGGAATCAGGATGACAGGTTCACTCCAACGTTGTGGTATATATACATGTGAGACATCATGAAGGTAGGAACCTGCTCTTCCATTTATCCTCCCCACAGTTGTTAACAAGCAGAGCACTAGGCACATCAGAACCTGTCTGTATTTTTCTCATGGTTAAGTATAAAGTGGAAGTTGAATTGGGTGGTTGTTTTTTCAAGAGATCTACTCCTGTCTCCCTTTTTTGTTTACAACAGAAAGGCAGGGAGGCAGTCTAAAAACCAGTATTAGTATTAAAGTCACTTGCTGTTCAGTAATAAATGCTTATTTTAAGTACTGCTATCCTTTACCCACTGCTGAGTTACTTGAAAGTAGCAAAAGAAAATATCAGGGCTTCTTGAAAGCCACAGTCTCCTGCTCTCCTGCAGTCTGGATCCAGAAATTTGTCATTTGTGCCTGTTTGGGACAAGGTATCACTCATTCTCGAACAATAACTTCCCAGAGGATCACAAGGTTATGAATTGTAAATGCCACTTGGTATAATATACGTTTCTCCCTGTGCCAAGCAGGGATATAATTACTTGAAAGAGTGAAATAAATGTTTGTAGAAACCCCATGTCTTCATCTTCTTTCACATCCAGGAGATGACACAAGGGGCTCTTTATCACATTTCCATTTCCTTTTGCTAGCAAGACACTTCTATAATGAAAACCACTGAAACAGCCCCAACCTACAATAGCCTTCCAGGGGCTGGAGGCCACAAGATGAAAGGAAAAGGAGAAGTGATCACCTAATAGACTTCAGTCTCATTTTCTCCCCTGGGTAGGATCATCCTTGCCATCTCACACAACTAGTACCAGGAATCAATGAAGAATGTGGGTGAATTTGATCTGTAAATTACAAAGGAAGAGCTCTAGTCTGTGATTCATTATATGTGAATGAAAGCAAAGAGTATATTTTTCCATATGGCCTAGATAAAATTTAAGCACGTTGGAGGAACTCAGTAAACAGGTTTTTACTTAAATCAATTTTATTAAGTGTAATCTGGCTTCAGATCTGGTACAAATAAAACAGACCTCTCACGTCACAGAATTAAATGAAACAGACTGTCAGACCTATTAGCTTCTTGGTTTGGAATGATCAGAGAAAAAAAAAACAGAAATAGAAAGAGCAAGTACATGCTTATCTTTTGTAGATGGCTTTGGCCTATTGGAGTCAACATTGCTTCCCAAGTGAGTAGCAGCAATAACCAGTGTCGCAGTTAGCAGTGAAACAGTATTTCAATATAGGATGCACATTTGAGATAGTCACAAATGTAAACTTGAAAATTAGTGCAGATCCACAGACATGGAACTCAAAAGAAACTAGTCAAAGATGAATGGCAACTTTACATCCTCAATCAGAAATACTACAAGGAATGCTTTCAAATAACAGTAGGGAGGAAGGAAGGAGCTAGTTTATGACATGTCTAGGGTGGTTTAGCCTGTACCAGTCACTTTGATAATGTACATCTTATTGAATTCTCACAGTAGCTTCACAAAGTAGGAAATATTCTGTGGTGTAGGATCTGGTACATCGGAATCAGATGCTAACTGTAACTGCTAGTAATATTATTAATATGGATAAGCTTAAGAGTAAAGGTACCACAGAGAGCTAGAATGTCCTATCCAAGTTCTCAGAGTTGATAAGTAATAAAACCAGTGTTTGACAACAGATCTTTCTTAATTGAAAGCCCAGACATTTTCTGCTCTCCTCCTTGGCAAGAGGAAAATAGCAGTATCATTAAAACCCTGGGATTTTTTAACCCCTTAGCAAGGCTGCGCTCTATAGCTGGACAATGAAAACCTTCAGGTAACTAAGAATATCTTCGGTCTTCCTCTTTCTCCTTACTCAGCTCTCTAAATTGCTATGAACCATGGCCCAGCTGTACTACAAGAAGGTTAATTACTCACCATACAGAGATCGCATTCCCCTGCAGATCGTGAGAGCTGAGACAGAGCTCTCTGCAGAGGAGAAGGCCTTCCTCAATGCAGTAGAGAAGGGGGACTATGCCACTGTGAAGCAGGCCCTGCAGGAAGCTGAGATCTACTACAATGTCAACATCAACTGCATGGATCCTTTGGGCCGGAGTGCCCTGCTTATTGCCATTGAAAATGAGAATTTGGAGATCATGGAGCTACTGCTGAACCACAGCGTGTATGTGGGCGACGCATTACTCTATGCCATCCGCAAGGAGGTGGTAGGTGCCGTGGAACTTCTGCTCAGCTACAGGAAGCCTAGTGGAGAGAAACAGGTAAGAGAAATCCCCTACAGGGTGATAAATAACCAGAAACAACAAAGCACCAGAACCCATAGCCTTGAAACTAGAAACATTTAGGTTGTCTGGAGTTGTGGAATCCTATCTCAGAAGTTACACCAGTGATCTTACCCTGGAGCTACCTTGTATGACCTATGCTGACTTTCGCTCATTTTTATTTTAATATTTGCACATAAACATTTATTCATTAACAACTCATTGGCAGACTGTTCATTTCCAGATTGTGCAGGCTCTTCCTACTTTCCCTGTCCACTGTTTCTCCACTTTCTTCCTTTAAATAATGGTCACAGTCTATCAGAGAAGATGCCAAACACAGGCCTGGGCTTTCTCCTTTCTACCAACCTTTCTTCCACAGACAAAATCAGAAACCTTTACATTTGAATGCAGGCACTGATGGCTATTAAGCCTCACATATTTCCCAGTACCCGTTATATCAGTGTATCTGACACATATATGTTTAGGTTTTGGTCTCTCTGATTCTTATGTCCTCCAGGGCACTTAGATTTGATACACTGTAGTCATCTTTGATTGCTGTGTCTATCTTACCTCCTTGTCTAATCCCTGAATCCTCTGGTGTCTTCCTTCCCAGTATCTTCTACATATTTTTTTCCCTCTAGCCCGGCTTCCACCACTATGGCTCTGTTCTTATCATCCCTCTCTGAGATTGGTGAGCCTCAAAGTCAGCATCAACATTACCCAGCAACTTATTAAAATGTAAAAATTTAGGCCCCCCAACACAGACCTACTAAATCATAAACTCTGGCTTAGTGCCAGAGCAAACTCTACCTTAAGTCCTCAAGGGATTCTGAAACATGCTTAGGTTTGAGAACTATTGTCCCAGACTAACATAAAAATCTTGTAACTCATTGTCTGTCTAGCCTTTTCCCTCTCTTAAGCCATGCTGAACAATAAGGCTGATTTCTTTATACTAAAATGGCATAATTATCCTGTCATTCCTGCCCATGCTTTCAATAAGTACAATGTGTCCTTGTACTAGTCTGTTTTTCTGTTGTTGTGTCAAAATATGAGATTGGGTACCTTATGAAGAAAAGAGGTTTGTTTAGATCACAGAGATGTTAAAAATACAAGATCAGAGCCACCCATCTGTTCAGTATCTGATAAAGAGCTCTTTGACTGAATCATGACATAGAGAAAATGGAAGGGGAACTGGCCACGTGCATAAGGGAAGAAGCAATTACATGAAGTGACCTCATTTACTGCAGATAACTCTTGTGAGAACCAACTCAGTGGGCCAGCATTAATTTCCATTAAAGGAAGTTTCTTCAGTGACCTAATTACCTCACACTAGCCTCCACCTCTTAAAGGTTCCACCAACTCAGCACCACCACAATGAAGACAAAACTACCAACACACGGACTTTTACGGAAACAAGCCACATGCAAACTTGTCAGTAGGAGAGATAGTAACTTAGAAAGTGTAGCACTGAAACCATTCAAATAATAGTGCTTTTCAGTTCTATCTTTCTGTAGTTCCTTCTAAAAATTCTTCAGGTCAGATAGGTGTCTTCACTGTGTCTGTACAAACCATTGGTCACATACTAAGGACAAAGTCAATACTGAGTCATCAAAAGGAGAATACTTGGGGCCGGGGATTTAGCTCAGCAGCATAAGTCGTGAGTCTGATCCCCAGTAACAATAACAACAAAAAAAAAGTAGAATACTTGGCCATATTTCAAAAAGCAAAAATAGTACAATGAAAACCAAAGCTGTTAAATAACAACAATAAACTATAAGATTTCCTGAACATACTTCATTTTAACTTTGTGAGTGGCGATTGTGGCATATTTGGAGTATTGTAATTTTTCATGTTAGTGAAATTTTAATTTTTTAAAAAATTCCTAAAAAAATTCATGTGTGATGATGACTATCAGACAACTAGTGCTTTCACATTTGTAAATTGGTTTTATGTTAAACCCTGTAGCGTAACAAACTGCTATTATTTCTAACTGACAGACATGTACTAGTATGGTACTTTGAAGCTTATAAATATTATAAATATACCTCTATTTTTTGTTTTAAAATTTATAATAACAAAATCTTCATGTTGTATTAAAAAAGAAAAGAAAACCAAAATGCCAAGTGCCTATAAAACACTGATAGCATCAATTCTTATAGGACACAGTCAAAGCTGTACTTAACCGAAATTCATAGCTTTGGTATTTGCCTAACTAAATAAAAAGAAACTAAAATAAATGATAACTTAAATATTAAAAACTGGAATTGACAGAATAGAAAACAAAGCACCACATTAAAAGTGCTTTGAGTAAAGGGCCTAAGTCCCCATCTTCTCCACTAGTATTTAACACAGTCCCAAAAAAGTAGAGACTGTGTCTCTCTTGTTAACTGCTATATTAGATCACTAGAAAAATACCTGGAACACAATAAACATGCAGTACATATTTATTTAATGAATGAATAATGCACACCCAGCACTATGCTAAGTATCTTACATGACTTACCTTGTTTAAGCATTCTCTGTTAGGTAGACACTCTTATTATCATCCTCATTTTGCCAATGAGAAAAATTGAGTCACAACATGGTTAAGTCCACTGTCCAAGATCCCAGGAAATGCCAGATCCAGTATTCAATCTCAGAGAAGTCGTAAACAACCCATTTAACCACTAGGTAACACTACTTCCCAGTAAATCTCAGGATTCCCAGTACCGAAGTTCTGACTCAAGGCAGATAAATGCAAGATGGATTACATCTCTGGAAATAACAGGCACATAGAATCTGGATAAATGGCAAAACAGAGAGGTATAAATATAGTTCCCATGCAGTCCACCTCACTGTTCCTATGAAAGCTGATTGGTTCTGTGCACCATGTCCCCAGAGCCCGCTAAGTCCTTGGGTGATTTAAAGTGTTAATCTACACTAAGGCTTTCTCAGCTACTCTGCTTCATAATGAACTTGATGACCTTCAAAATCCTAACTTTTTGCTTCACTTAACACCAATCACCTGCCATTTCGTACTGTTAGTTATCCTTACTTGTAGAAATTCCTAATCTTTGTAATTATACTCTTTCTTGAATGTGAGGTAAATATCTAATGTCCAACTGGTTCCATGCCTATGCCTTTCAATATTTCAAATTCCTAGTACATAATGAGTGATATATGAATATTTGTTGCAGGACATGAAATAGTTGAGTGGTGTACTCCTGTAATACTAGAATTTTCGGAGGGTTAAGCAGGGAGACAGCAAGTTCAAGCCTAATCTGGGCCACTTAGTGATTTAGTAAGACCCTATTTTAAAATAAAAATACAAGAGGAAAAGTGGTGTAGTTCAGTATGAAAGCCTTAGTTTCAAGCATTAATAGATATGTGATAGACAGACAGATAGATAGACAGATAATAGGTAGATACATAAATGCATACATACATAGATACATAGATTTATATATATACCAGAAAAACCCATGGTTTACTGTTATACAAGATCTTTCATTATAAATCTCATTTAACTTATAACTGTTTTGAGGAAGACGAGAGCACAGAGACAGTTTCTCAAAAAGGAGGTAGCAATACTGACCCTAGCAGAGTTTTGAAAGTAAGTCAAGTCCTCATTTGATGGGCCCCATATCCCATCTCTCCCCAGTTCTCTCATAAATGCTGATGCTCTGCCAATCAGGACGCAAAGCACCAGATAAGCTTATACTAAAGTGCAGTCTAAGGCATGACTTCACCTAGGCAAAGGCAAAGCTTAATTTATATGAATTAACCACTGTTGGTGGAAAGTGAGACATATGGAACTTGCATGGAGCTATTTGGAGCAGACTGTCTTTTGCCAGGACCTTTTCAGACACACCACCAATATAAGACCTCCTTTGTCATACTTGGATATCACACCATATGCTATGCTCACAGACATCAGCTCCATTCCCAAGTATCTTCAGCATCCTTCTCTTTCTCCTCACATCCCCAAATCCTGTCACCAGTCACTTCTAAATTTTATTTTCTTCCATTGCTCTGACAATCGCTGTGATAAATTATATGTCAGTAACCATAACAAAGGCTGCCACATTGCAAAAGATCTGTCTGCTTTTCCAGGAGATAGAAACAAAATTTGTTACCTGAGAGCAATCAGGGATGTGAGCTAACACAGGCCTCCTGAAGGACCTTGGATTTAGCTGAGCAGGCCACTTACAGGAAGGACCTCTTTCCACACGCAGAATCCAAACAAATGTTCTTTGTAACAAAGGCTGTGCCCCATATTGCCAAGTTATTGAATACAGTTGATCCCATCAATCTGGGGAAGGTAAACAAGCAAGCTTCTTAGCATTATGGAGCAAGGACTTTAGCTCCAGGCTGGAAGCAAGACCCCCTCTGCCTTTTCCTTGCCCAGGTCTCCTTATGCTCTTCCCCCCTCATCTAGCCTATCAAAACTACTCTCAAGTGAAGATCAGAGGCATAACATAAATGGATGGCACTGGTTTCAATTATCAACACTCCTGAACACCTGCAATTTTAAACAGGGAATAAATCTTAAACTAAAAACGGTGATACTCCATTAGGAAAAATCGTCTACATCAGACATGTGTGTTGCATGCACGTATGTGTCTGTGTATGTGTGTGTGCATGTGCATGTATGTATATGTGTGTAATTTTGGGACACTCTCTACCATCATAGCATATTTCCTTAGGGGTAGATTTTTGGCAACCCAGAAGACTTATGATTCCTTAGTGTAAACACTCTTAAAGTGGTCTCAATGTTCAAATTTGTCATTGAGTGTGGTGTCCACTCCTGTAATCCCAGTACTTGGGAGGCTGAGACAGGAGGATTGCCATGAGTTCCAGGCCTACTTGCGCTATACAGTCAGTTCAACGGCAGCTCAAACTACAAAGTTAGAATGCTGTTTTAAACTACCACCTCAACAAAAAGTTTAAAGAGGAGCTAATGCTGTCCTATTTCTTGTCTATTATTCTTGCCACCTTCATGCCACTGACTTCAGGAATAC